GGGACAATGCATAGCAAGCTCTCTTTACAACTCTATTCAAAGGCCATTCTTCCAGACACTGTTATGAACTAAGGTAGACCTGCTTCTCAGAGACTATACAGTAGAATACGTCCAGTATATGAAAACTCTCTTCGTACTCAAATGCAAGTTCGAGAGCCAGTATCGAAGAATGTTCAAAGACGAGGAGACCGGCTATCAAGAACCCTGCCCTGAGGAGTCTGAGGAGAAAGTTGTGAATACTATACGGTACAGGGCTTGTTCCATGAGTAGTAAACACTTTTCTTATTCTGTTGATAGGACATACAAATGTTGAGGAAGGAAGCACACATCAAACCGGTAAATATTTACTCCATCATCACAACAGACCCCTGAATTACTCATCTGTTAGCATTCTAATGACATGTCATTCAATACTGAGCAACTTTCTGTTGTTCGCACTCAGGGCGATGACTTGGTTCATTACTGCAAATACCAAACATTGGACCGTGAGAAAATGGTTGTGGTAAGAATGCTTAGGTTATGTTCACATTCAGTACCGGGCAGTTTTTTGTGGCGCAACAAAAAGCTGTCCGGTATATTTATTTACTATAAACAGCAACAGCTCGGGGCGGCACAAGTCGTTCACACACATCTAACATCGTGCCGGCGTGGTTGGCCGAGAGGGCTTGGTGTCCAGTTCTCACTTCTGAATATTTTTTCGTCTCAGCGGGTTCCAGTCCTCGCACAAACTTAGTTACTAAGGTGGTCACACTGCACCAAAGTAGGGCACAAAACCTATCCGATATATGACGCTCGACTTTCGAAACCGTTCTTGTGTTTGAACAGAAACCCGATCCGGTATGATTTTCGTGGCGGCGCAAAAGCTATCAGGTACAGTGTGAAGATAACCTTACCAAAGTACGTTTTACGTCGTCATGTCCCAAAGTTTAAAAGCAGCAAAGAAGGAAGTAGATAAAAATCGTCGACGTCGCGCCCGTTTTCTCAAGTAGCTCTTCTGTAACCTGCACTCAGACGTCTACTTACTTACGATCGACTGCTTTTCATGCATTTCTCAACATCTCAAAAATCTCAGCTAAATCTGTTTAATCTGCTGAATTATAGTAAAGAAAAGTATGCCTTAACTTACCCCAAAACAAATGGTCGGTTTTTCGGGGCGCGTGATTTACCTTATTCGAAGCTCGGGACTCGGGATTTTATTCCAAAATGGGGGCGGGATTCGTAAACGGAATAACCATCGAGGTTACGGAATTGAGGGGAAATTGGAATCGGAATAACGGGACTGAAGACCTCTTTTGGGGACGCTAACTTTGAAATGCATTAACTTTTTTAAATATGTGGATGCCCGCTCTTTACCTAATAATTTGTTGCTCTCACGCTTGATCTTCTGTGCATTTGAAACACGCAGGGTGGCCAGGCTACCTCCCAAGAAATGTGCGTAGACTTTCTATTTTATTACCCACGGATGGCGAATATTTATCAGTTCTGTAGCAGTTTACTGTACGCGCCAATCAAAGACTTTGTTGGGAAATACTTGTAAGTAACATCTCATCATGCTTGCCAATCAAAGACTGCATTTAATAGCAAGTACTTCCACTGAAGAAAAAGATTCTTATTGAACCATAACTATCTTAAAAACGGAAATTTTGGTGACCTAGCGATGAAAATACATTGGCAAGTTTATCTTCAAACATAAATCGACTTCAAGAAATGACTGCATAATCTAGATAGATGACCCACCTGATTGATTGCTGAAATAAATGGCAAAATTCGGTGCACGTTGAGAACTGAATTTCTCTAAGTTATTTAAAGAAGTCTACATAGACTGCCTAAGTTTAAGACAATTGGTGGACCTTCCAATTTGATTACGCTTGGATTATCAGTTTCATAAGCTAAACATTTTGGTCTGCCCCACAGCTATAGAAGAACCTTCTTGACACTGCTTAACTGGCAGCGGTTAAATAACCGGCCCTTAGTCTTAATTAACAGTTGTTGTATTTTTAGTCTGGTATCCATTCTTGTCCCGCCACAAAAGCTTTGACACCATGAGTTCAAATGCTCATAGTGAACTTGGATCCAATATGTTGATTTTTGATTTTAGTCCGGATGTTAACGTGACTTACCCAAATCCTATGGTTGGTATGAACATAACATGGACCGAAGACATGGTGTCAGATTTGCGATCAAGAATGGATAACGCCATGGGATACACAGCTCTATGTAAAGGCTGGGTAAGTGCTTTCAGTTCATGATTATCAGTGACATCAGTAGACAATTCATAGACCTCAAGCTGTAAACCTGTCTTCGAATGAACGAATTGCAGGGTAGATGCAACTCAAAATTTGGTGCGCCTTAGTACTTGTGCGAGAGTGTACGAGCTTAAAAAGCTTGCTGTGACATCTAGTGTGAAGATAATTGTACTCTGTCGATAAGACTAATAATAATAATAATAATAATAATAATAATAATAATAATAACGAATATTTATACAGGATAGCCCTTCAGTGCAAGAGCACTGTTATCAAAGGGGTCCTGTCATAATAACATAATATAAGGATAAAAACTAAAATAAGATAAGAATGACTACGCAACTAACTAACTACACTATACAAAAAATTGATCTAAAGACTCCCTAAATAGTATCCTACAGCTAATTTGCTTGATTTTTAAAGGTAAAGAATTAAAAGCTGAAGCGCCTAAAAAGTAAAAACTTTTCCGAGCAAAGTCAAGTTTCACTTTCGAAAATATTACCCTGTTTTACACCCGCTGGGTCAAACTGTGCTGTGTCTTGCCCTTCCTTATTGGAAAAAAGATGATGATGTTCTATTCCTATCTTGAATCGCCCATGTGCCTTTATTGATCCATTTACAGCTCGTTATCTAATTTTCCTGGACCATTCATTTGCCTGCTGCCTTTCAAAATCTCTGACATACTGGGCGTTAACCCAACCGATCTTAAGAAATCGCCTATAAAGCTTCGAGGCCAGCACCTTTTCAGCTTTGCAGTAGAATTTTGTAAAACAGTTTTTCGATTTTAAAATAATCTTAGTTATTAGTCCTCGAAAGGGACAGACTATGAATAACTGTTACTTCTCCACATATCTAAATGTAGTGACTGTTCACAGTAGGATGCCTAAAATGCATGCAATTCCTCAATTGATTTCGGCTTCATTAGATCTTACGCTAGTTTTAGGAGGAGCCACCGCAGCGCTGTTCACGTTCGTAAGGGTATACTAAAAGATGAACTAAAACAATGCTGTCTTTTAGAGGTAGTCTGTACATGGACGTTGTTTTCTTCAGTTTTTCCGTTTGAAAGTCGAAGGTCGACGAGCACGCGCACGAGGGCGTTTTCTTTTTTCCCCACCCCAGCCCATTACGTTATTTTCAATATATCGCCCACGGTTTTCATTTCCATACGCGCGCTCGACGATCTCTACAGGAAAAATAGAGGGTCTGGTCTCTATTTAGAGGACACATTTGCTGTGAATTGTAACATTTGATTTCATATTCCACAGGGTAAATATGAGTGGTTACCAAATCCAAAAGTCACCAAGCCTTTACCTCCAACAAAATCACCCTGTATCCAGCCCACCCTTGGAGATCCTGAAGGCGAAGGTTCCTTTGTATCTGCCTCTCGCAGCCTTGTTGTGCTTCTGTTTGCTACTAATATCATGTTTTTTGTGATAAATTAATAGCCTCATTATTCTTTTTCTTTTTGACGTTTTGTTGTGACTTTAAACATATATATATGCAGATATCATACCATTATATTACTTTGTAAAATCGGTTTTATCCGGACAAAGGCCAATAAATCTTATCTTGCTTGCATTGAAAAGCCAGTAGTCATTTAGTAATCGCACGTTGCCTTCAAATTATTTTACGGATGCGATGCATGGTACGAGTTGAACTAAATAACTACTTAGAATGAAGATGATGTGAAGTGCGGAAATAAATGAGGATATGAATTACAATTTGGTAGTTGTAATTTAAGCAATTGCTAATCAACCCGAAAAAAATTTCGGGACTTTAACGGGATTCGAACCTGTGGCCTCTGAGTTAGCGCTGCAGTGCTCTACCAACTGAACTATGGAGACCCTTAAGTTGCTGGGAGCAGGCCAATTTTAACACCACCCTCCCCAAGAATCTACTGTGAGAAAAACCACAAACACATTTGTAATCAGTTTTCAACACGATAAATGTTTCAATTTATTTTTTGGAAGTTAAACGTAACGTCATTGTTTTTTACAAGGCTTAATGTCTACAAGACTCCTTTTTTTTACACACATATGTTTTTACGGCTGTCCCACGAGATCGACATTTATCCGGTTAACAACTTGTCCACCTTGTAGACTGAATATTATGGCTTAGCGACTATCGTGAAACAAAAATATCATACAAATACCACGATAAAGTCTAAAATTAATATCTTTCATATCTCCAGTAGCAGAATAAGATCTTTACATAAGTGGGGGGCTCACACTTCAAGATAAGTTTTGACCTATAAATAAGTCGGGGCCTGGGCCACCCACCCCCTCCCTTGGATCTGCCATTGACTCTTCTCCTCTTTCAGCAGATGCCAATTTTCTTGTCTCTCATCAAATTTTTTAGCATCCTTATGAAGTAGGCTTCTGAAGTATATGTGTAATAGGCCATTTCCTATTTCCAAAAACTCTCACTTTCAAAACGAGGTTTGGTGCAAACTTGTCCTGTGAAAATGAGTTTTATTTGCATGAAAATAAAATTTCAATTTCATATCAAAAGCGTCACTTTGAAACAGAGACTTTGGGCCTATTATTAAGCTCATTGATCCACGTAATTCACGAAGAAAAATGGAATTGGCTTCTGTAAAGGTTTATATTTGCATAAATAATTGATTGATCAATTGTTCAATCCATTCATTGTCAACGTCAAGAACCCAAAAGAATGACACAAACGCAGCTGCATCTTAGTTTGCTATTGGACAGGACACTGTTTCTCTTGTGTAATATATTAATTCTAATAATTCTCTAAAGTCATTCTGAAACTCATTCATTCATCCGGCTTATTTTCATAAACTCATTGATACATATGATTCTTGATTAAAAAACGAAATCACTTTTGTAAAAGTTATCAAGCTTTCCTCCTTTATAATTACAATAAAATTTTGAACTTATGCTTCATGACATTTCTTGTTTTGATATCAGATACAGTGTGTGACACTTACTATTAACATATTTGACATATGGCTTCTATTATTCTTCAGTTCTTGGTTTCCTTATACTTGTAAACTGTGCAACTGACACTTATTTACAGTGTAGTCATCCAAAAGTGAAATACTTCTCAAATTTCCACACCTTAAAAAAAATTAATAATATTAATAAAATAAATTAATTAATTAATAATAATAATAACAATAATAATAATAATAATGGTAATAATAACCACGGTTCTCATTAAGTTTTTAAGTACACAGCTAGGATGTAAAAGTAGGCAGCTTGGTAATTGAGTGCTGTTGGCAATTTCAGGCTTTCACTATCTCACTTTACCCATGTTCCCCCCAAAAGTAGATGGTTCAAACCACCAAGTAGTCATTTTTTTTAGCCGGCTGCCAACAAACTGCTTGCATTGTGACAATTGAACTAACCATAAATACAGAAAAAAAATTAAGAAGAAAAACCCATTAAAATCTTAAACAAACTCCAGGCATGCATGAGTTAATTAACAAAGGCTAGGGTAACAACAGCTGATTTCTGTTGTTTCTCTTTTTCTCTTCCTGACACATGTTACTTAGGGTATCATCTCCATGAACCAGTTTGCAAATGCTTTTTTACTTTACCCTTAAATATTCAACTGTACAACACCCATATTGAATATTTACCTTTCTCTTATTAAATTGCCTATTTTCTATAGATGAAGACAGGGTCTTGGCCAGACATGGAAAACCAGTTGTCCAGGAGGGATTAATTTTTGTTGACTTCTTTCTACAAGTTGGTCCACCTCTACAGGACACCTGGACACCCTTCTGGCCAAAACCCTGCATGAAGGCACATTTTAACCCTTTAAGCCCCTATATCCTCACACAAATTCTCCAAACTGATCTCCTTACATTTCCCTAAAGAATGAGTTGAGAGAATTTAATAAAAGATCAAGGAATTTTCTCTTTGGTGATCATTTTATTAATTCTCATAACCTTATCTCTTGACAATGTATGGATACCGCTACGAGAAAATTGATGCTTGTCACTATTGGGACTTAAAGGGTTTAAGCCTTACTACTGCATAGCAAATCCTCCATAAGCTGGTGGATCATACGGAGGAGGGTTATCATACTGCACAGAACCATAAGATGGTGGGGGACCATAAGGCTGGGAATATGACTGAAAATAAGGCACTGGAGGTGGCGCTGATGGCTGAACCGGTGTGGGGTCATGTGCAAAGAATATACTGTCAACATCAATGGGATAATCAGCACCCTTATCCTGATGGACATATTTCGCCGACACGTCTGCTGAAGTGACCGGCCTCCAACTGCGGCTTGCTAGAGCATTAATTAAATGGCATATCAGACTTCTGCCATGAAGTCCATCATGACCGTCTATGCCACAGTTCCATGGGTTACCAAGAAGTTTGAACTCAAGGCTGTTGCCATAACGCTGTATTCTCTGAACTCCAAGAACATACTGGCTTTGAATTACATTTTGACATACCTGAAAAATAGTTTGAAAAAAGAATAAAGTATTATTCCATTTTTGGAGATGTACAAAAATGAGAGTCTAGGCCTAGAAAATAAACTGTAAAAAAATATATTTCAAACATGCATATATTTCCTGTTGATAGAAAATATTGCTGGTATATTACCTTGAATTACAATGCACCATTCCAACAAATATAAGTGAACAGCATATAATTCTGTGCCTACAAGGCTTAGTCTGCTTACTAATATTATCAAGGCACTTGAGGTTTTTTTTCCGAAGTGACCTAAGATAACTACAATAAAACACCCACCCTGAGACAAGGTGCAATTTGAACTTTCAATTACCTCTGAGCAAACCGCCAATTAAAACATCAACCTTGCATAACAATACCATAGTCATGTATAATTGATGTAGGGGGGGGGGGGGGTAATAATAGTTAGTTTACAGTATCACTAAGCAGTGCTCAAAAGAACATCTGGTTTCCCTGTAATACAGGTTTTACTCTTTTTGTTTTTCACTTTTTTTTACCTTGGTGATATCCTCTGGTGCATTAATCAGCCGCAGCTTGTCGGTCTCATTCAAACTCAGACAGAAAACAGGCATCTGTCTTGGTTGTGTCTGTCTGAAAAGTAGGGCACTTTTATCTGACAGTTTCCTTGAGCTGGCAATACTTGCAATGATGCTCCATCCATAAGCCTGTAGGGTTTCAATCATCTTTAATATCAGATACCTGGAGTCTACTGCCTCTTCTCCTGAAGCCCACCATGGGTTCCCTCTTAGTTTGAACTCCCAGCTGCCAAAGTAGCACGATTCACCTTGGATTCCTCTTAACCAGCTGGTCTGGATAGTGTCACGGATGGCAAAGTTCAAGTTGTCTGGAACGCCTATCAGCCTTAGGGTGTCATGTTTGTTGAGGCTTATGATGAAGTGATTGACAGAATATTGCCCAAGCATGATGTTGGGGTCATGTTCAAAGAACAGCGTGTTGGTGTTGCTTTTGAGATTAGAATTACCATATAAATTCCATTGTTTTGGGAGAAGATCACTCACAAGGGTTTGCAAAAGGACTCTCGAATTCACGGTTTCCTCACCATCTGGTCGCCAGGGGGTACCTCTCAATTTGATCAACAATACACCATTCTCAAGAGACCAATTCTGTATCCCCGGGGGCCAAGATTTCCCGATTACGTCCTTGAATGTTTGGTGCAGTTGAGTCGGTGCATTCAGAATCATAAAACTGTCAGTACTGCTCAATCCCACTACCATAAACGGGTAAGAAGATACCACTGCCACGGGAACTTTCTTGAACACCCAAGTGGTCAATTCTGTTGTCCTAGTTAAGTCGCTAGACATAATCAGCCTCCACCCAACCCGGTACAGTCCGTGCAAAATATTCCCCGCCATTCTCCTGGACATGACAGCATCGCCGAAGGAAATGTTCAGCAAAAAAGGGCGTCCGTTCAGTTTGAATTCGTGTACACCATTGAGTTGGAAAGATTCGTTTTGTATACCGGGCGGCCATGATTCTTGTATGGCCTGTCGAATAATATTGACTTCGTAATCCGTTCCGAGGATAACGCGAACTTTGTCTGACGATCGAATAGCAATACAGAAATATTCAAAACCTAAAGGACGAGGAGGCAGATTAGATTGTGCACCTCCCATTATGAGATCTGGTTGACCAGATGCGGACGTGTACAGTAAGCTTACATGAAGTCAAAGTGACCTCACTGCCATTGCTCCATTTTCTCCGCCCAGGGGGTGGGTGGGGTACTGACGGGGATGATCGAAGGATTGACGATTTTTTTTGGTTTGATTCCGGAATTTTTTGGGGTGAGAAAGAAAATTTGAAAAATATTTTAATCTAAGCCACCCAAAAAAATACTCGCCGAAAAAAAAATTCCCTACTTAAAAAGTAGAGATTTTGGGGGGTATTCAAAACAAGTGAAGATTCGTGGTAGGACTCGTGGTAGTGCTAAGGCCTGCGTATCCCGGTTAAGTAGTTCTGCGAATGAAGTGCAGTTTGTTGTTTTGTGGCTGGTCCAGGGAGTTTTCGGGGTTTTTTCGGAAGCCCTAGAGATTTTTTTGTTTTTGATTTTTATCCCCATTCGATCATCCCCGTCACTTGCATGAAATCCAGAGTGTCCCAATCCCCCTGGGTTTCTCCGTCGCAGAGCACATACACAATAAATAAATAAATAAATAAATAAATAATAATAATAATAATAATGAAATAACTGACAAAAAATAAATATAATGGACCGGATTCTAAAGCCAATAAGACAAAATTCAGCAAGGAAGCACATACTGCCAACTCGATCTGTAGTATGACTAATCTCATTCCCAGAATACGCTGGACAAGGGTGTAGAGGACTCTGGAAACGGGATTGTGGTACGACTGGGTGATATGACTGGGTGCATGCGTAAAGTATTGGCCACTCACCGCGCAGAGTTCAGGGTAGTGCTAAATTTGGCCTTGTTTACAAATATTGTGGCACAGCGGTCTATTTAACTGATCTCCGACTCCATAGGCTTGTTGAGAACTGTTTGGCGGTTCCCAGCCAAAAGCTGCCACTATGTACTTCGGAATACCGCGAAAAGCATCGAACCCAAACTCATCTTTGATTGCTACTGGGTTGCAAGATAGAACTAATTAAACTGCAAGATGACGACGGGAAATCTGCATGGGGAACGACAGATCGACCAAATAGTTCCCACTTAAATATATTTTTTGTTCCTCGCGAAGCGAGTTAATAATTTTGTCGAAATTCACATTCCGCATCCACATTCTGGAACGTGCGTGGATCGCACAGCGAGGCAGAAAAACGAGTCGGCTTTATATACATTTATTTCGTTTATTTTAGTATATACTAAAATAGTGGATAGTGTTTCCGAGCGCTCTGATTGGCTACTCAAACTCCAGACATCCAGTGCTATTCACTGTTACACCTCCAGCCCCTCCGAGCGAGCGACGCCAAACTCGCGTGAGTTACGAGCAAAATGGCTTCTCGGTTTACTGCCGTAAACAAACGAACAAAATTCAAAAAAAATCAAACAAGCTGTTTTTCTTGACGAGGCTTAACTTTAGTGGCGTTATACTAAAAAAAACTTCGTTCGCGAGGGTTATTGCGAGATATTGATTAATTGATTGTGTGTTTATCCCAATTAAAAGCAATTGCAATACAAATTGTAAGAAAATAAGATAACTTGGAAAGAAAATTGTCGAATCTCTTGTGGTCATTTTCAAGGCTTAGTTTCCCTCTTTCAATATACTAAAACTTCAAAACGTGTTTAAAATAGGTGTCAGAAAATTGCTTACATATGGTACGATAAGTCTATAAAAAATACAGTAGTCATTATATTTCCAACGTATGATTCAATAATTATTCATTCCTAATAGCAAGAGAAATGAGAAAATACTGGATTGTTTAAAACTTCAGGGACCAAACCAGAAATCAAAGACTGTTTCGTCTTCTCTTCACACCGATACTTGAGATAACTTAACTATAGATAACTTCGCGAATAAATGTTATTTTTTTCTAATTATAGACTACGTCTATGAAAATGACTCGATATAACAGGACAGTTTCAATACTCGAGATCATGGGCTCAATCAAATAAACGTACGTGACATGAATCACTCGTGCATCAGAATGTTTGAAGATGCGGCCGCAGCTTCCTCTCAGAAGGGACGTCTATATGTTGAGTTTTATTTAACATGGACCAAAACATTTGATCCACTAAGGAGACGCACGGTTAATGCAGCGGGTACAAACAGCACTATATCCATTAACGCGGTAGTCATCATTCCGAAACGGCTCAATGTTATTTTTGTAGTAAATCATGGACTTTTTTCGCGTCTTGCAGCCGTAACAGCTCACTTTACCCACTGGAGCATCGGTAACATTGACAGAAAAAGGACTGCCTTTAATGTGGATTCCACGTAAAAGCACTGAAACCTTGTGATTACCCTTAGAATTAGTGGGGCAGGTGTATGTTGCAGTGTAGGTACCGTCGCCTTTGTCCTCCACATTACACTCAACCTTTTCTCCCGCATTTTCTGTAAGTTCCACCATGAACATGTCACCTCCCTCGTCACGGGGACGTCCTTGCGCGTCGCGTGCAGTAATAGTGAATGAAGCCTTTCTCTCGGGTATTGCTAGATTCAAGCCTGAGCCTTCAGCAGTGGTGGTGACTGAACTGGTGGTTTTATCACTGACCATACCCGCGTCATTGAGCAATTCCAGCAGCTGCTCAAGGTTGACGTTGAACTCTAAAACGCAGTCTGCTTGTGGCTCAAACACGAGGGACTGATTCTCTATTTCTTTTAGCGTTGGTACTATATCATTTCTGGCCACAAGCACCTCAAGGTTGCCTGATTTCACTGCGCACAGGGTACGATGGGCGGCACTCTCTAGGCAGGCTTGAAATATGTGCAGACGGTCTCGCTGATCTGTGAGAGTGAATGCTTTGGTCTTGTACAGCTGCTCCAGTTCTCTCAACAAAACGCTTTCTCTTTCAGTTATTGCAGCACGTAGCTGCAAAATAAGAAGACGCCACTTGCATTAAACACAAGTATAGTCTAAAACAGTGGACGCCGAGTCGTTTCAACAGTAATCAGAGGAATCAACATGTGCACGTCGTAAGAATTAAAAACATCTCTTGCACTGAGAGCAGTACTACCGCGTATTACCGTATATATAAGCTATGCGGGTGTGTGCCAGCACAAAGTGAATTTTGAGCGCGTTTAGCGAACTTCTTAGGGGCCCAGTCTGAAAAAGGTAGGGAATTCGTGGCCTATTTGATTCAAATAAAAAATAGTAATTAAATACGAATATTAACTGACCTTTTTGAAGCTGCCTTTAATTTGAACAATCTGCTCCTCGTATGCCTTATTCAGGTCAAGACTTACAGCCGCCACTCGAGCCCCTGCAGCTTTAATTCCCTCTGCATGGTTGCTGGCTTTGGTAGCAATTGCTTCCATTTCCTGTCGGCAATTTGAAGCAGCATCAGCTAGTTTTAAAAGCTTGTGACCATTGTGGTCGAGAGTAACGCAGTCCATACAAACGACATGATTGCATTCTTCATCAAAGAAGCGGTATTGCTGATCGTGTTCTGGGCAGAAAATCGGCACCGCTGCAAACTTTGGATTTGCCTTTAGTTTCTCTAGGGATTCAACACGGTGATCGCGGGTTGCCTTCTGTCGAGTATGCCATCGAGCTACATCCTTGCACATATCCTCTTTGCAATCCAAGCAACAGGATGTCGCAGGATGCTTCTCATCATCACAAACTTCACAAAGGCGCAAAGCTGCATTTCCATCTGCTGTTGTCAGCGGAATGGCTTGTAAGACATCTAGTAGGGCAAAATTCTTTGGAAGCCCAGTAACACCGGCTTGCACAGAAACTGCACGCCTGCAAGTTGGGCAGCTAATTGCGTACTCCTTGAACAGCTTCTCCAAGCAATTTGAGCAGAAGCTGTGACCACAACTTAGCAAACGAGGACAGAGTTTTTCCTCATCAAAACGCTCGCAGCAGATAGGACAGTCCAGTCCCTGAGACGCCATCACACCTCGGCAAGTTACCTGCAAGAAAATAGAAATGAATGAACAAGACACTCAGCTTAAAGGCGAACACAGACAACTGCAGGATATATACGCACGAAGAAAGCTAAGAGAGAAAGAGTATTAAGATTCAAAGAGGCATGCATGTACGAGTATAGGATAGGGAGACATGGCTTGTTACGACAAAACCAAAGAAAAGTGTTAGCCACAGGGAGTGTTAGAAAAGAATGATTCATAGTGAAGTCGTTATCGAAATTTCACCGGGGCCAAAGTGAAATGAGGAACATTGGTCAAACATCAAACAGAGACCTTTCAATTACCAGTCAAAGTGCCAAAAAGAATACGCAAGCAAGGTGTACGTTACCATCTGCCGAGACACCGAATGATACTAAAACATATAAAGGGGAGCGGGGAACGAGCACAGGAAACGGGAAACTGAAAAATGGGAACAAAACAGAGAACTGGAAATAAAGGTAATAATAAATAGGGCTAAGGTTCAAGTTAGATCTTGTTCTCATTTTTCTTTCCCGTTCTCCGGCGCCCGTTCCCCGATCCCCGTTCCAAATTTTAGTAACATCCATACGTGAGTATCATGTAAATTATGAAAAAAGACAAGCTCCCAAATGGATAAAGGAGTATAATTGATGTTTAGCCTTTGACTTTTTAGATACCTGTTTATTTTTTCAAGTTTCTATACTCTGAATTTTGATTCTTAGTGGAGAACATTACGAAGCCTTTTTTATATCTTATTTTCTATAAACTATAATCTGTGTAAAATGGAGTGTATGCCCATTTATTATATGGAGGAGAGTGTTTTACTGGGAACTAAACCACTCGTAGATTCCATACGCCACTTCATCCGGGACCCGAGTGGCGTATTTTCCGTATGTCACCTTTGTGAGTGTCGTATCGTTCAATGACGTCACGATTCCCGCCTTTTGCTTTTGTTGAATTGGTTTCTCCATATAATAAAAAGAACATTACACGTTGGCTCGAAGATATGAATTTTATGTTCTCGTGGCAAGAACAATATCTCACTCGTTCGCTTCGCTCACTCGTGAGATATTGTTCTTGCCACTCGAACATAAAATCCATATCTTCTCGCCACCGTGTAATATCCTCTATATATGGTATATCCTTATTTGGGCCCAAACATGCGCTCAGTGCAGCAATTGGTAAAGGAAAACTGATTAAACATGACAAGACGACTTGAGGTTTCCCATTTGGTGAAAGGCGCCATTTTAAAGGTGTATTAAATTAGTTATGTTTGCCAAGACGGCTTTTCATTGCCTCCAATGCTACACTTAAAAGGGTAGAACTATGGGTCGTGAATCCTGACAGAGTTATTAATACATAAAATAAATCAAATCAAATATTTATTATGTAAGAATACATAAAAGGAAACGTCACAGGTTATCCCTATCGAGGATGCTCCCTACATAAAATATAAAATAAATATACTACAATGTAAAATTTAAGAATAATTAAGGAATGGCTAAAAAAAATTACAAAATTTCACAATGCTTTCTAAGTTTACTTCGAAAAATGGTGAAATCCTGTTCGTGCACTAGCTCTTTAGGAAGAGCGTTCCACTGTTTAATAATTCTAACAAAGAATGAGAGCAAAAAAACAATTTACTCTAGCTAATGGCTGTCTTAATTTAAATTAATGGTTTGACCTTGTTTTACCATAACAGTTAAATTCAAAATAATCATTACAGGTAAGGCCATTAAGACCATGAACAGCTGCATGAATAGTCTTGTAGCACTCTAGCAAAGATAGATAAGACCTCCTTGATTGAAGACCCCCAAATCAGCCGTTTTGGTAACAGACTGAAGCGTACAACCAGAGAGCTTGTAAGGATAGCTAGAACCTCACATTTGTCAGGGTGAAAACGAAGTTTCCAATTTTCACTCCATTTCTGTAGCGTGTTGAGGTCACATTGAAGTTGTTTCTCGTCGTTTTCATCGTAAATAATCCTGTAAACCTTGCTGTCATCTGCAAACAGGCGCATGTTCGACCTTACTCCAGTTGTAATATCGTTCCTATAGGCAAGGAACAGGACTGGCCCAAGTACACTACCTTGGGGAACACCAGAGGTGACCATCGTCCAAGGAAAAGTGCCCACGGAATGAGACTCTTTGTTTTCTACCAACGATAAAGTGGGTTAGGGCCGAATCGCACTAGAGCCAGACATTTCGAATGTCCCGGGGCAAACTCCACAGGATTTGGCTTTAAGTTTGTCCGCTGACAATTTGTCTGTTGTCCACGCTCCATCGCACTAACGTTTTGTTTACGTTAGAGAACTGTTTGGCGGTTCCCAGCCAAAAGCTGCCACTATGTACTTCGGAATACCGCGAAAAGCATCGAACCCAAACTCATCTTTGATTGCTACTGGGTTGCAAGATAGAACTAATTAAACTGCAAGATGAAGCGGGAAATCTGCATGGGGAACGACAGATCGACCAAATAGTAGCCACTTAAATATATTTTTTGTTCCTCGCGAAGCGAGTTAATAATTTTGTCGAAATTCACATTCCGCGTGGAACGTGCGTGGATCGCACAGCGAGGCAGAAAAACGAGTCGGCTTTATATACATTTATTTAGTTTATTTTAGTATATACTAAAATAGTGGATAGTGTTTTCGAGCGCTCTGATTGGCTACTCAAACTTCAGATATCCAGTGCTATTCACTGTTACACCTCCAGCTTCTCCGAGCGAGCGACGCCAAACTCGCGTGAGTTACGAGCAAAATGGCTTCTCGGTTTACTGCCGTAAACAAACGAACAAAATTCACAAATAATCAAACAAGCTGTTCCCGACGAGGCTTAACTTTAGTGGCGTTATACTAAAAAACTTCGTTCGCGAGGGTTATTGCGAGATATTGATTAATTGATTGTGTGTTTATCCCAATTAAAAGCAATTGCAATAAAAATTGTAAGAAAATAAGACAACTAGGAAAGAAAATTGTCGAATCTCTTGTGGTCATTTACAAGGCCTAGTTTCCCTCTTTTACAATATACTAAAACTTCAAAACGTGTTTAAAAAAGGTGTCAGAAAATTGCTTACATATGGTACGATAAGTCTGTAAAAAAATACAGTAGTCATTATATTTCCAACGTATGATTCAATAATTATTCATTCCTTATAGCAAGAGAAATGAGAAAATACTGGATTGTTTAAAACTTCAGGGACCAAACCAGAAATCAAAGACTGTTTCGTCTTCTCTTCACACCGTTACTTGAGATAACTTAACTATAGATAACTTCGCGAATAAATGTTATTTTATGAAAATGACTCGATATAACAGGACAGTTTCAATACTCGAGATCATGGGCTCAATCAAATAAACGTACGTGACATGAATCACTCGTGCATCAGAATGTTTGAAGATGCGGCCGCAGCTTCCTCTCAGAACGGACGTCTATGTGTTGAGTTTTATTTAACATGGACCACAACATTTGATCCACTAAGGAGACGCACGGTTAATGCAGCGGGTACAAACAGCACTATATCCATCAACGCGGTAGTCATCATTCCGAAACGGCTCAGTGTTATTTTTGTAGTAAATCATGGACTTTTTTCGCGTCTTGCAGCCGTAACAGCTCACTTTACCCACTGGAGCATCGGTAATATTGACAGAAAAAGGACTGCCTTTAATGTGGATTCCACGTAAAAGCACTGAAACCTTGTGATTACCCTTAGAATTAGTGGGGCAGGTGTATGTTGCAGTGTAGGTACCGTCGCCTTTGTCCTCCACATTACACTCAACCTTTTCTCCCTCATTTTCTGTAAGTTCCACCATGAACATGTCACCTCCCTCGTCACGGTTTCGTCCTTGCGCGTCGCGTGCAGTAATAGTGAATGAAGCCTTTCTCTCGGGTATTGCTAGATTCAAGCCTGAGCCTTCAGCAGTGGTGGTGACTGAACTGGTAGTTTTATCACTGACCATACCCGCGTCATTGAGCAATTCCAGCAGCTGCTCAAGGTTGACGTTGAACTCTAAAACGCAGTCTGCTTGTGGCTCAAACACGAGGGGCTGATTCTCTATTTCTTTTAGCGTTGGTACTATATCATTTCTGGCCACCAGCACCTCAAGGTTGCCTGATTTCACTGCGCACAGGGTACGATGGGCGGCACTCTCTAGGCAGGCTTGAAATATGTGCAGACGGTCTCGCTGATCTGTGAGAGCGAATGCTTTGGTCTTGTACAGCTGCTCCAATTCTCTCAACAAAACGCTTTCTCTGTCATTTAGTGCAGCATGTAGCTGCAAAATAAGAAGACGCCACTTGCATTAAACACAAGTATAGTCTAAAACAGTGGACGCCGAGTCGTTTCAACAGTAATCAGAGGAATCAACTTGTGCGCGTCGTAAGAATTAAAAGCATCTCTATCTTCCACTGATAGCAGTACTACCGCGTATTACCGTATATAAGCTATGCGGGTGTGTGCCATCACAAAGTGAATTTTGAGCGCGTTTAGCGAACTTCTTAGCTATAGGGGCCCAGTCTGAAAAAGGTAGGGAATTCGTGGCCTATTTGTGTCAAAAAAAAAAAGTAATCAAATACGAATATTAACTCACCTTTTTGAAGCTGCCTTTAATTTGAACAATCTGCTCCTCGTATGCCTTATTCAGGTCAAGACTTACAGCCGCCACTCGAGCCTCTGCAGCTTTAATTCCCTCCGCATGGTTGCTGGCTTTGGTAGCAATTGCTTCCATTTCTTGTCGGCAATTTGAAGCAGCATCAGCTAGTTTTAAAAGCTTGTGACCATTGTGGTTGAGAGTAACGCAGTCCCTACAAACGACATGATTGCATTCTTCATCAAAGAAGTGGTATTGCTCATTGTGTTCTGGGCAGAAAATCGGCACAGCTGCAAGCTTTGGGTTTGACTTTAGTCTCTCTAGGGATACAACACGGTGATCGCGGGTTGCCTTCTGTCGAGTATGCAATCGAACTACATCCTTGCACATATCCTCTTTGCAATCCAAGCAACAGGATGTC